ATGCTAGTGAAAGGGGAAATTTACTAAGGAAAGTTATTTATTTATTTTTTGTGTTTGGTTTTATCTTGAAAAAATACCAAGGGATATATATATAGAATATGGTAAATGTTTTAAAAAATTTCAATATGTTTTTCCCATATGTTTTACTCCCTATTTTCTTTCCCTAGCATTTTCCCATGTTCCAAATGGACACTAAGTTTATGGATATATCCAAGAAAGTGCCATAATATCATGGACTATTGATTGACCAGCACAAATCACAAACCAATAAGATTGATGACAACATTAGCTTTTGCCATCACTGCTTTTATTGAATTTTCATCTCTAGGGTTGTATTTCATTGGAACAATCTGCAAAGAATAACAATGGACAACCATAACATCATCATCATCATCATGGGAAATTCATCATAACTGACTTTAGGGGCAAAACTAATCTACCTGGCCCAAATCACCCATTAACTTGAGATGACGATGACAATCCTCAGAACCTCGGAAAGGTACCAAAACTTGAGAACCCATTTTAGCTGTAAGAGTAAACTGCATATAGTTAGAAATTCTATGATTTCAACAAAAGAGGGTGCTTTTAGCTTTTGCATTGAACATATATTCACATATCATCGAAATCTATACAATACTCTAGATTGTACATCAACCCCAAGACCAGAAACTATAAGAAGTGAATAGCACTTTACCAAGCTGTTGCACAAGGTAGCGCCCAAGAAACCCCGTAGCTCCAAAGACTGCTGCAATAATTCCACTGCCTCAGACAACACATTCTATTCGATCAGCATGTGGATAACACACACAAAAAGGCTAAAATTTCAAAAAAGGAGCATAAATAAATCAGGAAAAGGAGTATATGAACACAATCAAGTACAAATTCTACAGTTGCATGATAAAAAAAATCCCAATTCAATATGTAAACACATCTAATATTTACAGAAAGTAATCAACTGAAATTGACAGATTTTCCAATTGGCGTCAGATTTAAGCCAAAAACACAAACCAAACCGAAAATCAGAGCTTCGAGAGCCGCATTACCTCACAGACGATCTTCCCCCAGTTCCCTTGCGAACTAGATGCCCAACACCTTTGGTGGCGAGGGTAGATGTGTAACGCGGAGTTTGAACTCCATAGCCTGAAATGAAAACAAACACAGAAATGTGAAATTGTGGGGGGGGGGGGGGACAAGCAGATACTCCATCAAAGATTAGTTATGAGATTTAGCCCTTGAAATGCGAGGCGGGTACATTGATCGGAGATTGGACAGAGAGACTTGAGAGCTGAAAGTGAAGGTGGAGATCGATTCAGATATTGGTGCCCTAATTGCCTCGTGAGGGTCTGCATCGTTCTTCCCCTGCGCTGAGCTCTCTTACAGTTCAATTGCTATTTCTTTATGAAGATCGGAAGCTGCTCTATCTATCTACCTTCTTGTTGAGGGAAAAAAACTGTCTTTTTTTCTCTCTTTTTTTTTCTTCTTGAAAAAAATGGGAACTCAAAATTAATTCAAGAAATTTAAGGAAAAAGTATTATAAATTGAAGATTTATCATATACATTTAGTTGAAAGAGAGAAATAGAGTTGTCTTTGCATTCAATCTCTAAACAAAGAAAGCGCAGAATGATAAAGTTAATTTTGAATTGAACGCAAATAATAATTTATTAATCTAAAATTGGGGAGTATTTAAAAAGTATCGTAATGAACATTATTATTTGTGAGCACTTTTTGATTTTCTAAACATAATCACAATTTCTATTTTTGAACATTTCAAAATTAAACGTACACTTCTCATGTTTTCTTTTAAGAAAAATGATGCATAAATATGGATCCTAACAAATGAGGCGATTGAAGATGTTGCATGTATGTGGTAAAAATAACATATTCGATTATTTAATTAATTAACTAAATAAATATGTAGCCAACATTATGCTTTTAATATAATATTCAATTGCTACTCTTTGTTAAGAGTATTATAGATACTTTCTCAGTCTTAAAATAAACTTTTTAATTTGATTTTCGCAGTCAAACTTTTCAAACTTTATCTGCATATTATGGAAAAATACATTAAATTTTTTATATAAGTTTCTATCAATTAGGTCATTTTAATGATCAAAGTATTACATGAAATTTCGTAAAAATTCAAATGAGAAATTAATTTTAGAAAGGAGTGAGTAACATAACTTATTGACCAAAATGACTCTTATGGCCTATAGCTTTGTTGTTAATATGATCACATTTGATATCATGCGTATCCAAAAAGCAGTTACGGAGCATCTTGTTGCTCACTTACCTGTCATATTTTTATAATTAATTTTTGTTTACAAAGTATGTCAGATCTAAATTCAAATGTTTAAGTTCCTTAAACATGAAATTTGAACCAAATTCGCATTTAAAATCTAAATCCAAGTTTCCAAACATACCATTATGGAATTGCAATAAATTTCACTTTTGAAAAACAAAAAAACAAAAATGTTAGCTTGAGACTGATGAAACATATCTTATTTTTTATCAGAGTTACTTTTTACTTCAAATACAAATAAATTTAAGTTTTAAAAATAATGAAGTATTGGTGTGTATTTTGTAAACCACAACTCCACGGGCCAAACTCACACTGTAGCTATTGGAGTATTTGGCCTAAGCCTTAGAGCATCTTCATTCATTATTTTACAATTCTTTTATCGGTGGGTTTCTTGTGACACCGGAAAATGGTGCCACTAGCAGTGTCACTGCGTTTTTGGGACACCTCCGGTGCTCCGTTCGTAAAATTAACGGTTCTCACCCCCTAAACCTCCATCCTACCCACACCCCTGCACCCCAACCCCGTCGTAAGCCCCCCCACAAAATGTGTGGCTATTATGCATATTGCATAATAGCCACACATTTTGTGGGGGCTTATGGCGGGGTTAGGGTGGGGGGCTTAGGGGGTGGGTTAGAGGGGTAGAAACCGTCAATTTTATGAACGGAGCACCGGAGATGCCCTAAAAACACAGTGACACCGTTCTCCGGTGTCACTAGAACCGGGCCGTTCTTTTATTCAATCATTCTTTACCATCCATGTCATGTCAACATAATCCATTATCAAGAGCTCGTTATATTCGTCTGATCTAATTAAGTTTTATCTTATTTTATTAAGGTCTGTAATATGATCTGGTCTAATTTAATCAAATTATATGATATTTGAAACTGTTTCTGATCTGATTCGGTGTGATTTGATTCTTATAAAAATAAGAATAAGTTCTACTTAATAAAAATAAGTTGATAAAAACAAACTCTAAATACCAACTTTTTAAAAACAAACACTCATAACACATTTCATCCATTCAACTGTCCAATTAATTGTTTATGGATCCCACTTGGATTTTACTTTATTCATTATTTTCAATAATCTATACACCGTATTATATTACTCCCTCCGTCCTAAAATTAACTTTTAAGATTGACTTTTTGGTCAACTATTTTGAACTAAGATTGCATATTACGAAAGAAAATATTGAATTTTTATATAAATTGAATATCAATAGATTCATTTTGAGATATAATTTTGAAATATTTTTTTATTTTTATAATATATATTTATACATAAATAGAGATATTAATGGTAAAAAACGTTACATTAGAGACTGAAAAGTCAAATGTGGAGTTAATTTTAGGACGGAGGGAGTATAAAATAGTATCAATTATTTATTATACACGCGGAGTAATTGATAAATAAAAATATGAAAAAATATTAAATCAATTATTTAGGAATTATATAAATTTATATTTAGAAGAATCAAATTCTTAATATCAGTACTTATAATGCACCAGTAAAAGTATTGCATATCACTGCCCCTGGAGGGGAGGGCAGGGGCTATATATCCTCTATGCAAAAGAATTAGACTGCTTGGAAGATGACTGTCTTGTTTAACAATGCAGTAGCCCCATCCTGCAAAAGCTTCCAAGCTGAAATGATATGCCTCTCTTCAGTCAGTGGTGCTCCCACTGCGAGGCGCAGAACGTATTTATGGGAAAGAACAGTGTGGGTTATGAACATTTTCCCTGAGGAGTTAACATAATCAAGAAGATCGCGGCTGAGTTTGTTTGAAAGAGCTTCATCATTCTGGGGTGACCGAAGCCGAAAGCACACTAATGAAAACTTTCTAGGGGTCACAACCTGCAAAAAACGAAAAAATAAATGGTTGTTGAAGTTTTAGGGATGCACTCTTTTTCTTTTTTTTTTGAATATGGGATGCACTCTTCTTGATTGATTGTCAAAGGGTCCATTTGTTTTGGTTTCTCAGAACCACATTTTGCCAATTCTGGTTTCAGAATCCACAGAGTTGCATTTGTTTTAGATTCTGAAAAAAAAGTCTAGTAGTTCTTACCTCAAACCTAGAGTCGCCGGAAACAAACCCTTCAAACAGTTTAGCCAATTCTATATGGTTCTTCACATAGTTTTGAAGCTTCTCCAAGCCGTACAATCTTAAAACCATCCATAATTTCAGCGATCTGCGGGTTAATGCACCCAAAACTCAATGAAATCTCATAGTAACAGATTTGGTGCAAATGTGAGAATGTTTCCGTGGAGTAAATTCAGAATCCATGTGAAAAAAAGTTTAATAATATAAGGACTGATGTACCTGAACCTTCGTCCAAGAGGAATTTGCCAATCTTTGTAATCTACCACCATGTTTTCTTGAGAAGCCTGAAAGGGATTCTAAATCTTTAGTTAAACACGGGGGGAAAAATTCTATGAACAAAGAGAAAGTGAGACTTAAATTTTAACTGTAAGTACTTGCTCAGAGCTGCTTACTTTATTTTTAAGGTATTCAGGGTTAGTGGAAAGCGCCTGAACGAGAGCACTTCGCTCCTATTCGTAAAAGAACATAAATTATTGTTCATCAACTAATGCAAAGTACTAAGAACACCATTATTGTTCATCACCATTAAATGCATTACCTTTATCCAAAGTGCAGAACAGTCGAAGTTTGTAAGAAACCATTTATGCGCATTCATGTTAAATGAGTCGGCTTCTTCTACACCGTCCAAATAGTGTCGAAACTCGGGACATATACAAGCGCTTCCAGCATATGCAGCATCGACATGAAACCACATCCCATTACTCTATTGAAAGCAGGTCGACATTACTACTCGATTATATTAGTATAATGTTCTTTTATATGTTAGTTTATATCAACTTGAACCTCAGTTGAATGTCATTACCTTAGCAATATTCCCAAGTGCAAGTAGGGGATCAATGGCAGTTGATGAAGTAGTACCAACCTAATAAACAAGTCAAGGGGAAACTCATTCCAATAACATATGGATAATGGCAAGGAGCACTAAAGAACTGAGATTTATAGTGTTATCTTTTTTATGGCCTAATTCATTGCATTTTTTTTCTTACAGTTGCACAAAGGAAGAAGGGGATTAGACCAGCTGCAATGTCTTTGGATATAGCTTCATGGAGTGAACTTGGAGATATGGCATATTCAGTAGATGAGTCAGCCTTTATAGAGTGAAAATTTTCTGGATTTATTCCTGCTATCTGTCAAAATAAAAGGAGGAATAGAAAAAAAAGTAAAGCCCATGTAAAGCTATAAATGATTGAACTCCTCAATATGTGTGTGAGAGAGATCCCTTTGGGTTGAAGTTCACCCAATGTGTATTCTTCTCAAGTTAAAGTAAACAAACGTGTACTCGGGAGGCCTTTTGTAGAGAAGCATGAGTCTGATCAGAGGCATAAACAACAAGCTTCCCTATACACTCTCTCCCAACTTGTCTCAATATTCTGTCCCGTGCCGCTAAAAGCACAACCAGAACAGCTTCACTAGCTGAGCCTTGTATTACTCCCCCACCATGTCCTGTGGAAGCCAAACAAGAGTTACCAAAAACAATGCACCTTTTTAGGCGACGTAATGCTGAGACCAGCCACGATTAGGTGATTACCGGTAGAAAGAAAACATTCTGGCAAGTTGAGTGCTTTAGCAAGCCAATCCAAAACAATCATTTCGAGTTCTGTGGCTGCTGGAGAACTAATCCAGCTGAAACCCACAATACTAATTCCTGAAATAAGCATTTCCCCCAGGAACCCAGCCACGCTGTTGTTAGAGGGGAAATATGCATAAAAATCTGGGCTTTGCCAATGTGTAACTCCGGGCAATATCTTTGTCTGCACATCTGCAATCACTCATGACTCATCATATAGTTACTTAGGGCAAACCACTTTGAATATTTGAATCCAACCGTTTCAACTAGTACTCGAACCCAATGATTTAAAAACCTTATATATGCTTCTCTTTCATATTTTTATGTGGGATTCTTGAAAAAATCAGCATTTTTTTACCTTGAAGAACATCCTGCAATGTCTCGGGGTAAGTAGGTGCCGACTCTGGCAGGATCCCGCGTAGATAACCTGGCTGTGCGAAGATATTTTCTTGATATAGTCATGAACTGTGATCACGATTATCCACTAAAAACATAATTAATCTTTCTTTTTAAAATCCAGAATGTCAAAGTGTTAATTGAACATTCCCTTAAAAAAGTGTTTTTTTTTTGCAAAAAAATAAGTGTTAATTAAGCATAAACCCAATAAAGAATAAAGAATGTAGAGCTTAATATATATACTCTCCGTCTTTCTTATTTAGATTTTCCTTCTAAATAAGCTTAAACCCAAAAAGTGTTTTCCTTCTTTCTTATTTAGATTTTAAGCTAATATGATATGTTTTTCATGTATTATTAATATTATATAGTTTTAAATCATTTCATTTTTTTATTTTTCCCATGTCACTTTATTTTGTGATTCATACTCGTTATTGTTTTTGTCTTCCATTTTTATATAAATAATATAATACATAGTACAATTTTATTGAGATTTTATTTATTAATTTACATTACAATAAACTATGTTCCAAAAATTATAGAACTTTTGTTAATCTAAGTTGACATGAGGAATACATCAATATTTTAAAAATAGTAATTATACTACGTCCTTTGTTCCTAATTATATGACATGTAAATTATTCACGTAGAAAAATATTACTAAAGCAATTTGAAAATAAGATAGCATATACTCCCTCCGTCCCAGTGTATTTATCCAGTTTGACTTTTTCATGTCAAACTGGACAAACATTGAGCTTCAATTAAATAAAAATTGTAATGTATTTTAACATAAAAATGACTTTATTGGATTTATCGTATTGAGAACTTTCAAAATTATATTTCATTATGCTAATATTCAATATAAATTAAGAGTAATTGGAGTTCAAAGTTTGTCTAGTTTGATTCGAAAAAGTCAAACTGGACAAATACATTAGAACGGAGGTAGTATTTGAATGAAGAGTTGTGTTCTTTTGGTTGTAAATAGAAAATAATATGTATATACATATTTAAGCTTAAGTCTTTTACATCCACTCGAAATAAATCCCTCCAAATAAGAGAGTTTCTCATTTCCTTCGTTCTTCTTCCTATTTTTTTTGTCAATTTTCCATTCATCTTGTCACTAAAAACAAATTCAAAATAATATTAATAAAAGTAAATAAAATAAATATAATAAAAATAAAATAAATAGTAATAATAAGAATAAAAAATAATAGATAATAAAAAAATACTCTATAAATACAAAAAATATCAACATGATAATCATAATAATATATAAATTAAAAAAAATAAAAGTACTAAATTATAATATTAATAATAATAATGAAGTAAATTATATATTAAAAATAAATGAATAAATACATAAATAACTAAATAAATAATGATTATGATGATAATAATAATAGGAATATTTATAATAATAATAATAGTTATTGTAATTATTATTATTATTATTATTATTATTATTATTATTTTCATAGTAATAATAATGATGATGATAACAATAACAATAAGAATAATAATATTAGTAAGTAATAATTAAATAAATGAAATTAATAAAACAATACTTGAAATAAATAAATCGTTAATTAATAATTAAATAAATAATAAATACTAAAAATTAAAATTATAAATTATAAATATAAAAAATTAAATTAAAATTAATGTTTTCCATTACCCCCGCACCCCCCTTCATCACACTCAAATAGGTTTTGCAATTTATTTTCATTTGAGTCATATTAGATCATACCAAATTAAATTTTTTTTAAAAAAAAGTAAGAGATGCCCTAGGTGGGACCACCCCGCTCCATAAACCCAATCTCCAATTTGAGAAATGCTAGAGTTACAAACATTTCGGTCACAAAATACACAAACTTACCATTTGTACATTTTAATGATTACTTTTAAATTATTCAACATCATTTTATTCATTCAATGAGGTGCACAACTGGTAAATTTGTGTATTTTGTGACCGAAGTGTTTGTGACTCTAGCATTTACACATGTTTGCCACCTAACTCATCCACCCAAGGCCAAAGGGTGTGGTTGCCGTGCCCGTCTTGGCTTCTTCCCGACCACCACCACCGGCCACGCAAAACTGTTTCCCAGCCAAATTGAATTTGCCGGGCAATTTCAATTTCAAAACTCACGAGAGATGGAGAAGACGAAGAAGACAATTTCATAAAATGGATCGGACTAAAATTTGAAATAAAAAAAAAAAAAAAAGAAAAAGAACCTGAACTTGACTGAGCACAGGGAAGCTCTCGATGTGGGAGTAATAATCGGCAATGAAATCCACCATTCTGTGACCGAACTCTCTCAGCTGTTCTGCGTCCATTCCCTTCAAATCCATTCCTCCTTCCCTGTTATCCAATCCAGATTTAATAATTCTCAACACAAAATAATAATTATTATTATAATTAATAATTACAATAATTACAATAATAATGATCGGAGATCTTAATTACATTACACTGTATTTTTTCCCGGTTTCCCCCCTTTCTCTCTCTCTCTCTCTCTCTCTCTCGGTTGAAGGGCTCCGACTGATTCGGATGAAGACGATGAGGCTGTATGTATGTATGTATGTATATATATGGAATCGAGCGTACCGTATTTCTCCTCCTCTTTAAAGTTCAAACATGAAACTTGTGGAGCCAAAATGATGGAGAAAAATGTTAGTACTCCGTTAGTTTCTCGTAGGGACAGCCTCCTCTCAAAGTTTTATTCTTTTTAATAACTTTTGCTTACGTGGCACGACGCAATCTTTCTAAATACTAGATTGAGATTATATTATGATTTACCTCTTCACTATCATGTCGGGTCAGGGTATGGGGTGCCTGAGACAGACATTCCACCTTATACTTCTTTCACCCTTTAACTTTTTAGTCAAATAAATACTCACTCCGTCCTAAAATATTCTTCTCACTTACTTTTCACACGGTCAAACTTTAATCACTTTCTTTACCTATTTTCATTAGGTATTTTGATAAAATAATGTATTCTTGTCACTGTAAGTTCGTGGGGGTGCAGCGGAAATTACCAATTAAGAGCTACGCAAACAGATCAGTCAACTATGATGTAGAGAAGACGTTGCATCACTGTCACAGTAACAAATGACGGACAATGTGCTACTCCCTCCGTTTCTTAAAACCATTCCTCTTTCATTTTTTTTGTTTTTCTTAAAACACTTCCCCTTTCTATTAAAAACCCACTTTTACCCCTACTTTTTCATACCCTACCTATCACATCATACTTTTTCACTAACAACTAAACTATCACATCTTACTTTTACCCATCACATCAAGGGCAAAATTGGAAAGTCAACTACAATTTAACACTTTCTTATTTTCCCCCAAAGTCAAAAGAGGAACTCTTTTGAGAAACGGAGGTAGTATAACACTTCTCTCTCACAAGCACATACAGAAGCAGATGATGCAGAGGGTGTTACAGCGCCTACTTGGCAGAATATTGTAAATATAAAATGCGTAAAAAATAACACCAGATATGTTTACGCAGTTCGGAGAACTCTCCTAGTCTGCGGGGCCCACGTCCGTGTAATAGCCCTCTACTAAATCACTAGATGCAAGTTACACCGGTACATAACAACATGATGAGACACTCTTCTCTGAATTGTTATGACAAAACTTCTAATCTAGGATTTCTAACCCGAACTCTGTTCAGATCCACTTCGGCTATCACATCTCCACCGAGATCACGAGGACAAACGTGTTGACAGCCCTCTCCTTAAGCTCTTGTCCACCTCCTGGTTGTCACGATCTGTTTTTCATTGCAGAACTCCTTCTTCATGTAGATCGTATCTTTCTTCACGCAAGGGAAGCTCCGGGACGCGACGGGAATGCTCTACATCAGCGTTTATTCTTTGTTTTCCCTCTCAATCGCTCCCAGTAATTCCTAGGGACCTGATGCGTTTTTATAGGCTTCTCTTAACACAATCCTAGTAGGAATAGGTTGGTAGAAGTTGGCTTGAACTCAACTTCCTTAATCTTGATCCACAAGTAGCCTAAAGTGTTGGGATTCCTTAGCATGTACAGCTGGAGTTATTATCATGTAATCACAATCCCAATAGGTCTCTAAATCAGATTGCAGCTTAAAATCACGTGCTCAGACCTCTGATCCCGCACACTGTGTTGCAGCATCATGCTGTAGCATCTTCTGTGTCAACCTTGAAAACTGCAGCAGCTCTAGAAGTCTAAATAAAATAAACCTCTCCTAACAAATAGAGGTTTCTACCTAGTAAAACATCTAACAAATATGGGATTCTATTTTGCCAAAAGATTAGCCAACATCATGGAACTAACAGTCACCACTTGTTTTGTATAACTTTTGATGTAGTTTTAAATATATAAAATTTATTTTTTAATTTTACACCTACAATCAAATAAATTGAATCGAAAATAAAATCGGTCAAACTTCGTAAACATAACCAGGAAGAACATTATAGGACGGAGGGAGTACGCATTTTGACAACAAATCTCCACAAAAGTATATTTAGTTATCCCATAAAATATATACCTCCTTCTCAAAGTATTTTTCTACTTTTGATTCTTTTTTTGTCAAATTAAAATTTTTGACCATAAATTAAATAAAAGTAATATTAGGTATTGATAAAAAAAATAATTTTATTTGATTTATTTTGTATAACATTTTCAAAATATTATTTTGTAGAATTAATATATCATATATATTTTAACTAATTATAGGTCAAAGATATAAAATGCTTGACTACAAAAAGATAGAACTGGACAAATACTGAATCATATTTCTCAGATTTTGCGGAGAGAAGAAAGAGGAAGAGATGAAGATGAAGAAGAATGAGAATAATTTTATTACATTTATCTTGTAAAAATTGTTTAAAATATGTTGTAGTTCCCAAATCAGAAAATAAAGATGAATATTGCTAACATATATAGAAAGGTAAAACCCAACCTATCAACTTAAATTTTTGGCTTAGAATAGTAGATCTCGACTTTATATCTAAATGATTAATTTTACCCGATCCTCAATACGTACGTTGTTTTACTTAATTAATATATCATATTATTTTATTTAGTTAAAAATCAAAAATCGATCTAATTTGACTACAAAAGTTCAAAATCTGACAAATGATCTACGAGACCGGGAGTACTAAATAGTAAATATACATCATGATTCATAATCCATTGAGGAACGATTTTTATAATTAACGTTTATGTTTTGGATCAGTTTTTTTTAATTATGTAAAGTGATGACCTGTTGGGGTTCGCACAGCAGAAGATAATAAAATAAGGAGGTAAAAAATAAAAGAGCAAAGTAGAACACTAGAAATTTAATGTGGTTTACCCAGAACTTTTGGGCTACGTCCACAAAACAACACTTTCTATTTCTTCTTCTACTATTTACAAGTGTGTAATTTCTTCTACTATTACAAATAGTAGGCACATACTTTTTTCACTCACTTTTCTTTTAGGAAAACATTTCCTAAGCACTCACTCTCAATTTTTCTTCAAAACAAAACATTTGTTTTGGTATAGAGTAAATCTCTCTCTCCCTCTTGAATTCTCACGCAAAATGAAGAGGATGTGGAACTTTGTTGAAGGAGTATTCCTTTTATAAGGAAAAACTTCACCGCCATGGATGTTGCCATTTAATTCCACCGCCACAATTTGTGCCGCCTCATGCATGTATATCTAGGGGCGGAGCCAGAAAACTCATAAAGTGGGGGCAAAAAAAATAAAAATAAAACTAAATAAAACGGTAAATATTGTTAATATTAAAATTCATAACATAACAAGTCATATTACCTCAAGTCTACAAAATCATTCTTCTAGCCTTCATTGCTTGAAAATATTGTAGGATGTCTTCAATTAAAATATTTAAAAAATATTTAAAATTTGTCAATTAAAATAATTAAAAAAATATGGGATATTATTTGGAGTTTTGAACTAACTACGTCGTACCTATTATGAGAAAACAAAAAAATCTAGGAGAAAACAAAAAAACTCTAACCCTAGCATTTTTTGTTTTCTCTAACAGTCTAACCTAGTTTTCTTTTTGTACGAGTGCCTTATATAAGTGCCTAATATGAGAACAAAAAGATCATCAAAAACTATTTTTTGTTTTACCAATAGTACGAGTGCCTAACATGAGAAAAGAAAAAAAATCAATGAAGAAGATGAAAACCAATTGCACACAAAAGAATTGAGGAAAATAAGATTAATTTGCTAATTTGAATAAACCACAATAAAATTTAGGTTAAATGGTAATCAATTGCTGATTTAAAAAATTAGAGAAAAAAACCTGAAAAAAAGAATCGTTGCACTTGCCGCACTTAGTCGCCGGCCCGTTCCCGTAAGGGTCTCCGTCTCTGCACACTGCACTTCGCACAATTTGAAGAAAGATTTTAGGAATTGAAGATTGAGTGGGGAATTGGGAATAGATTGAAGAATTGAGTGGATGTAATTGGGTGGGAGTTGGGAAGGAGAAGGGAATTGGCTCACGGGTGGAAAAGAGAATTGAAATTGCTGCCTGACTTCTGGTGCTGTACGTGAATGGACAGGGGACAGGGCAGAATTTTTTTTTGTAAAACGCCAAACGACGTCGTTTTGGATTTGGGGAAAAATTTCAATGACTGCAATTGCAGTCATTTACTCCTTACTAGCTCCGCCACTGTATATCCCTTCACATATGTTTGGTCAAAGAATGAGAAAACAAAACTCAAATTGAGTTCTTTTTCTAGCCGAACAAGTGTCCTTCTCCATTCTTCTAAATCAATTTTTTTTCTTCTTGATAAGCATGGCATGCATGTGGGCCCTCCATTTAGAGGGACCCACATCAACAAGACCAACGTGCAATTGTCCACCATAAATTGTGCCTAAATAGTAACGATTTTTTTGGTACAGAGAAAATAAAAATTTTAGTATTGTTTTAAAAAAAACATTTTCTCACGATGGAATAGTCAATGACTTGTATCTCTCAGTTTTAAAACTTCTTTTTAAATTATTATTTACATGGTTAAACTTTAAACATTAATTTTGTATACTTTTGATAATCATTTTCATTCATAAAGTAATGTAGTTATGTTACCTTATAAAATTCAATTTTACATATACAATCAAATAAGTTAAATTGAGAATAATTTTAATTAAACTTCAAAAACTCAAATGGAAAAAAAGTTTTAGGACAAAATATGGAGTGTAAGAGTGTTCCATAACTTATGCCGAAATTTCTCCGGGTAAATTTCACAAATGGTACCTGAACTTTAGCTGAAATTTCGAAGTGGTACCTGAACTTCAAATCCTTTCACAAAAATCCTTGAACTTACACAATCTTTTCACTAATGAGCCATTAGCCCGTTTCTAGGTTAACTTCCGGTCATTAGGGCCAAATTCGAATTTTATATATTTTAAAATTTTCAATTTGACCCCATTTCTTCTTTTCTTTTCTTCCACGCCCCGCCGCCGCCGCCCGCCGGTCAAAGTCGCCGGAAAATGAACTTTTTCCGATTCCGGCGGGACCAATGTCATTCTCTTCGTCTTGAGACGAGGATCAATAATATCCAAACCATTT